TAGAATTAAAAGTACTGTCATCCAGACATTTAATTGGAATCCATAACATCCCTCGTTTAGAAGCAATGACTTCTGGGATGAAAAGAACCAAATGAACAATTTCAGTCCAATCTTTCTCCTTTCTCTTTGGATCACATACCTTAATCAGATCCATTGGATGAAACTAGGATCTGCCAGAGGTTTTCTCCTTAAATAACAGTTAGCATTAATACAGTGCCTCTCTTTTGAGTTCAAAGCGTGGATAATTCAATACATTATATATTGTCACTATTTTCTCACAGTTCCAAAGCCATGCAACTTTGAATCTGGTGCCCAGTTCTTCTTTTGGGGCATAAAGTTTTAGATAACCATCTCTCCTTAGGACTTCTACAGATTATTGTTGTGATAATACATAATCCAAATCATTGCTGTTGATTTGTATTTTATTTAGCTCATGCTCCGACACTCTGATATCCGCAAATGGATAATAAAATGGGTTATTAAATCTCAGAATTTCTTGCAAACAGAGTTAAACCCATGAAGAGACACAAAGCTAAAAACTAGATTTATCAGACTCTCGATAGTTCTGACTACCTTCAGCCTATCTCAGTGTCTTGCCTGCTTTGCCACTCTGCCCTTGAAGATGAAGCTAGGTTGAAAACAGCCATGCTGACTGAGAATTCTGGGATAGAATTCCTAATGGAAAGCACTAGACTAGGGACAAATCTTCTATAACAGAATGTAATAATAAGTAGTTTAACTCTCTGTTCATTAATTCATACAAAATTCAACCTATTTTAAGTCACACTGAGTGATGTGAATGCTTAACTTTTTTTCACACTGGAACCTATGATATAAAACTCTCGGGATATTTGCCTCCTATATAATTTTAGCAATAGATAGGATGTATATGTCTGGCTGCAATAAAATAAACTCGGCTGCTAGTACAAAAGCAGGCAATTCCAGTTTGATGGATTTTAACACACTCAAATGTTGCTGGTAACAATAAGTCTCTTAACTGCTTCCTAAGAAATTGAAAAGAAGCCCAGATCGCATCAGAGAAAATCATTTCACCTTTTCTTAACAAAATACACACACACACACACACACACATTCAGATTTAATATAGAATGTGTGTATGTGTGTGTGTGTGTTTTCAACTTGGATATTTGTTCTTAATTACCATATTGGAAAAACATGAACACATAGTTTTATTAGAGTGCTAAACCATCAAGATCTTTAAAAAAAATGCCCAAATTTGCTTTCTCTCTCTCTCTTTTTTTTTACAGGGATCTTGTGGCATGCGAGTGAGAGGTTTATTTAGTCCATAGATAAAAGCTTTTTTAAAATCCTCATTTCTTCTAACATCTTAACAGCTATGCAGTTTCTTACAAGATATGTTTTATCGTTTCAAGAAATGCTGTTAACCTGGCAGTTTTAAAACTGAATGAACAAGGCCTCTTGGACAAATTGAAAAACAAATGGTGGTACGACAAAGGAGAGTGTGGCAGCGGGGGAGGTGACTCCAAGGTTAGCCTCAATGTCACCAAAGCGGGTAAACAGAACTGTTGAGTTGAGTAATTGGTGCGTCTGCTGAGGTTCCTCCTTCCAGCTCGCCAGACCCAACGGTGTCCTGTGGCACTTGCAAATCCATTGCCAACCAACATCCAGGTGTATGCAATTACTGTCAAAGCAAAAATATTTGCATCCTAATCAGATTTTCTTTTTGGCCAAGGGCAACTGGTTCGTATTGAAGTACAAATTGGAGTTTTTCTTGCCATTTTCTTGCCATTTTCTTGCCATCTTGGTATTTTTTTTTTTTTTTAAAAGTGAATCATTCGGAATAATATCCATCTCCTAAGTAAATTTTCTGAACCTCTACCAGAAGATAGAAAAGTGCTGATAAATTATCATGTGGCATGGTTAAAATACAAATGAATGGCATGGTGGCCTAGAGGTGGAGCTCTCACCTCACCTCATAGGTGGCCATGAGTTCAATCCTAGGGAGTGGCAGATATTTCTCACTCTGGGCGCAAAGAGAAAATATCTGCTGTGAGCTCTGGGTAGGCATCAGGAAGGGCATCTGGCTAGTAAACACTCAGGTCCATTCAGTCACCTTGATGCAAGCGATTACAGGGTTGTTAAAAAAAATTTAAAAGCCCACAAATAACTAGTTTTACCATAAAGGGGTATAGGCTTAATCTCACCTCTAATTCCTTAAATGAAATAAATCCTTTTCATCATGTATCTTTCATCGTATTTTTCCTGTCCTGGCATAATTCTTTGTTAGGACAGATTTGCACAATACTGACTTGAAAGTGGGCCTATTGTAGTTTCTTCAAAAGAACCTGAGAAAGATAATCCTACTTTACATTTCAGTTGTGTCAACAGAAGAGAATATCTGTAACTCAGGTTGAACTGTGCAGTTCTTGATGGTCTCCGAGCTGATTGTTTGCTTGCAGACATTTCATTACCCAACTAGTAAACACCATCAGTGTTAATGAGTGTGGGGTTTGTAGTCTGTTTAGATATAATACATCCCTGTCAAAACTGGCAGGACAAACTACTATATATAAACAAGCAATAGATAGCCCTCTCTTCACAATGACAATTGGGATCAGGATTTCTATCACTAAGTAACACAGTCATAAAGCATGACATAATGTGACTGCACTGCTTAGCAATGGAAATTCCAACAGTTTTGATTGCTGTCATTAAGAGGATCACTGCAGGATGTTAAGCAAGGATGCCATATGGTTGCCATTTGCTATTTTCTGCAAGTTTCCCCATTGACTTTGCTTGTAGGAAGCTGTCAAAGAAAGTCACAAATGGCACCCACATGACACATGACATTGAGATGATGTAATCACAAGTTGGACGCCGAGCCCTCAGATCATGATCATGTGACCATGGGGATGCTATGATGGCTGTAAGTACAAAGACCAGTTGTAAGTACCACTCTTTCTGCACCATTTTAAGTTTGAACAGTCAGTGAACCAGTAATTATTAAACAAGGACTACCTATAGAAACCTTGCATTCACTCACTCTGATGATGTTATCTAGTTAGGTAATGAAACTTCTGCAAGCAAACAAGCCCAGAGAAAACCATAAACTCCACAATTCAAGTTATCCTCTGAATGCTATAGTCAACACATACTGAAAATTGTATAATTCAATTTATCAAGTCAAAGTGTTCTGTTGAGTACAAGAAAAGACAGTCAGAAATGTTAGTTATTAGCTGATACTTCCTTTTGTAATATATACTTTAGAAAATATCATGAAGTCAATTACTTCAAAAATGGATAAGGCTAATCTATAGTATGCCCTTATCATCCAGTTAACCTAATGGCTGGTGGGTTTACTTTTAGATGATTTGCTGTGTTCATATATCATCAGAGTATCAGCAGCTGGCCACAATGATGCCAAAATGAGAAACTGTATACTGTGACATAACAATGTAGGCTCCACTCTTTACATGCTTGCACAATGCAAGTATGGAAGGGATAAATTTTATATCACGCTAATCACCTATTATCTGTCAAGGTTCCGATAGACAAGACCAAACAAATCAGAACTCCAAGGCTTGAGATTTCCTCAAAGAGCATGTTTATTGGTTACATAGTATCGGCACAGTCAAAAGTGAAACCAAGTCTGAAATCCCCTTCAAAGAGAGACAATATTACAAAGTTGAACTTCCCACCCCAATGCTATGCAATCAGCTACGTTCCCCAATAGAACAGTTTTGCGGGCTTTCTAACTAAATGCTCACACATATAATTGACAAAAATGACCTTGGTTCCCATGGGATAGTAAAATGTTTAGACTAGTAGAAATCCTCCACACCCCTTCCCATTCTTCTGGCAAACTAGAATGAGCAAAATGGCTGCAGCCAAGTTCATTGTAGAGTTGACATTATCTTTGTTCTGAGATTATGCGTAATATGTTGAACCAGGTCAGGTGAAAACAGATATACAATCTATGACATGCTAATTTTGGCTATTAACTTTGGTTAGGTTTTGTGTGTGTGTGTGTGTGTTATGTTAGTATTTTTAAATACAGACTATTTCATTCATTGAAGGTTCGATGTATTATACAAACTCAGAATAAATTGATTTGATTTCCAATTTCTTTTAAAAATTAATCTCTGTCCCTTTAAACATTTTGAACATCTAAAATTAAAAAGTTATGATTCCCAACATGAATGTCACATGAAGACACTTCTTGGTATCTTCTCAACAGCTTTGTACATTTAGAATTCAGATATTCTTTATTATACTGAATAACAGATCTTTAAATTATCTTATTACAGTTACTGATATTAGTGATCATTGAGTTCAGAAACAAATCATTATCTTACTTTAAAATATTGTCCCTTGCTTAAGGCTATAAGCTGTTTAATTACTGAAATATCAAATTCTAAATAAGCTATTAGCTTAAGAAATTAAGATAGTAACATAGTTTGTCTTGAACAAACCACCCCCCATGTCCTAGCTTCTGCAAAACATAACAACTGAAGAAGATTGTTGTTATAAATACATACTGTGAGTCTAAGCACTTTTACTCTGTAGATCCCATGGAATTCAATAGAATGTATTTCTCATAAAGTCTGTTTTGGTTTGCAACCTAAATTGTACAGCTGACAATTTATTGGTAGACTTCTTTTGAGGCTATCCATTTATATTAAAAATGAAGCAAAACAGGAAAGTTCTCAAACTATCTGGGGACTTTTTTGGGACGATCCATTAAGACATATTAAGGAGTATTTAAGCCAATAGTTTTGGGTTTACAGTAATTGCAGACCACTTATTTAAAACTTCACCCAGCAGGACGTGCCCATTACTTGAAGCGATGGAGCAGGTCCCATTGGTATATCTGTCTCTAACCCTAGGCCTTCACTGTACATGGTATAACAGCCACTGTGGCCTGTGCTCCATCACTTTGCCATGCGATTCTATGTAGTTTTGCTTGAATAACATAAAATAACATATATAATGTTATTTATGTTATTTTCCACGTGAAGAACTCCTGTAAACCTTGCCGTTTTGAAACTCAGTGAGGCAGGCGTCTTAGACAAGCTGAAAAACAAATGGTGGTACGATAAAGGTGAATGTGGACCGAAGGATTCTGGAAGTAAGGTCAGTTGCTGAAGTTCGGGACCTATTGTTGTGTTCACAAGGGAGTTTATTGGTCACATAGGAATGGAAATAAATCAGCTGTTGAAGAACCATCATGTTGAAGATGTTAATTTTGTCTCAGCTCCAGTGAAACAAAGTTATATTCTCTTACAATTGCTGTAAAACCACTAATCCACATTTCAACTCCAATTATACAGTACATATCTGTAAAAGCCACATTCATCAAGACTGCACATGTGCATATATATACTGTATATATACACAAACACACCCACACAGAGAGACAAAGCACATATCCAAAAGCTTTTTCCATCGATAATAAATCCTTTCAATTTTAATTTGCCCAAAGTGCCCTTCCATATTCTGGATTTGTAGATATAGAGTGCCTAGATTCAGAATAGTTCTGTTGAATGATTTTGAATATTTCTATGAGATCTAAAGATATTCTTATTTTAATATGTGCCCTTTTATCACTACACAGTACTGGAATTCCTTTCTAACTCTATTATGGAGCTGACTATTCCACTAGAGCAGGGGTAGGCAACCTTGGCTCTTTTATGACTCGTGGATTTCAACTCCCAGAATTCCTGAGCCAGCTATGTCCACGAGTCATAAAAGAGCCAAGGTTGCCTACCCCTGCTCTAGAGTAACTGATAGCTCAGAAATTGATTCCCCATATTTCTTTTAAAAATTAAAGCCTGCCCTTATTTATTTTTTTGGTAACACTTGGAAATCTAAGATTATAAAGTTATGTATTCAACATGAATGCCACAATGTAGACACTTCTACATGCTATCATCTCATCAATTTTGCATTCTATAATTCAGATAAGACTTACTGTATTTAATAATGTATCTTTACATTGTATTGTTATAATAACTGACTTTAAAGGTCATCAAGATCAGACCACTCACTCTCATTTTAAAATAGTAAAATATTGCTTGTTGCTTAAAACGAGATCTGCTAAGTTGCTTAATTAACAATACACCCTATAGTTTCAAGCCCAAAACAACTTGTTATCCAAAGAATTAAGGTAGACAATCACCTATTGAAAAAGCTATACTTTGCTATACCTGATATCAATACCAGCCATACCAAAATGAACAATGAATTGTAACAATACTAGTTCACAATATGAAAACAATATAGTGGCTAAAAATAAACCTTTAACACTACACTAAAGCTAATACACCCATGTTTAGACTCAAACCTGGTAGAATTGTGAAGCACCAAACAAAGAACATACTACACTTTTTAAAAAGCACAATCATGAAAAAAAAAACATATTCTGAAGTTTCCCACTTTATACCTAGTGATCCAAGAAATGTTACTAATGTTTTGTGGCTTTCCTGACTTTCACATTTTACCAAATTGCAACTAACTGTTTAAGTAAGATTTGAAAGAGAGCCCTGACAGCACAGTAGGAAATTAGAGAGTAGCAGTTGAAGAAAAAGATTCCTTGTGCCCAAAATAATAGCTTTGATAGAGAATGCATTTTGCTGAGTTTAGAAAACACACTGTAAGTAATATTCATTAAAACTGATACTTGACACGTGTTTGGGAAAACTTCTTAGTTGTTTTGTTTCCTTTGACCTTAGTCATCTAATGAAAAGGAACAGCATATAGATCAATAAGCTCATTAGTGATTTTTTTTTTTTAAAAAAAGCTCATGTCTAAGCCACAATTAAACATTAAGCTAGATATGTTTGAAGGCTACTGCATTTATTTGCGTAAAACTATTTCAGAGTTACTCATACAGTAGCTCCTGTTCCAAAATGTTGGTTAAGTATATGTCAACTTTTGCAACTTTTTCAAAATGTGTTTAAATGTCTGTGTGTTTAAGGATGTACCAATACTTTTAAAGGTGTCTGTCAGTGGGTCTTACTTTGTTAAACTTTCCTATTTATTTAAATGAAGCTGTTCCTTAGATCCCCCGCTCCTGTTTTTTGTAGAACGCTGTTTGTTTGTGCTTCCACTATTTGTTCCTGGAATGCTAACACTCCCTCTTCTGTTTCCCCAGGACAAGACAAGTGCCCTGAGTCTCAGCAACGTTGCTGGCGTCTTCTACATTCTGGTTGGCGGCCTGGGCTTGGCAATGCTGGTGGCTTTGATAGAATTCTGTTACAAATCCAGGGCCGAGGCGAAGAGAATGAAGGTGGCAAAGAGTGCACAGACTTTTAATCCAACTTCCTCGCAGAATACCCAGAATTTAGCAACTTATAGAGAAGGTTACAACGTATATGGAACCGAGAGTGTTAAAATTTAGGGGTAGGACTTAGGGCCCTACTACAGTGAGTGGGTGATGCATCATTTTGTCATGCAATGTTGTGACCTGTCTGTTCAGTGGTGATTCCTGCTTGCTTCTCAACAGAGCTTCCTCTTTTGAAAAAAACCAAAAACGGTTCAGTTAATTTTGGCTGCAGATGTTTAGTCTATACTTATATGTTGCTAATAGACATCTGCATTGCAAGGATTTGTTAAATGCATCTATATATGTATATATGTATATGTATCTTTTGTGTGTGTATATATATATATAGATAGATCGAGATGATACACTGATTTATTTTCTTTTTATAAAAACAAGGAACATTTTCTGCTCTCAGATAGATTGGATTTTGTGGTGAGACTTTAGAGCTTTTTAGAAAAAGGGAAAAGTTGAATAGAGGTACTAGAAATATTTCCTTGGGTAAGGGGGTGGGCTTGCAACTTTTGTTCTAATTGCTGTTGGTTTTGTCTATGAACGGCTCAGAATTAGAGGACTTGATTTGAGAAAGTTAGTTTCTTCTGCTTTTTGCAGCTCCCTGTGGGATCTGTAGAATAGATCTGTTCTTCCCCATTTGACAGTCCTAGATATACTGACATAAGAAATCCCCACGTTTTCATCCATTAACAATTGCTGGCCAGCAATTCTAGAATTGTAATACCACCTGGAGGAAGCTAGAGTAAGAAAGTTCATTCCAAGAGTTGATGTAGATATTTAGGTTGAAATCCTATGCATACTTACTTTGGAATTAGTCCATCTAGTCCAGTACTGTCCATAAATTTCAGACAGGCCTGTTTCTACCTACTTAGAGATGCAAGGACTAAACCTAGGATTTTTTGCAAGTTACATCCCTTCCCATTTGGTGATGATAGCCTTTATCTCAGATGGCTTTAAAAGAGAATTACATATAGGATCACACATAATAGTAAGCCTGGATTTCTAGCCGTGGTGGTTTGAACAAACCTTAATTACCTCACTCACAACTAACATAAGCCATCATTGATGGATTCTCTTATGCTAAGCCCAAAATGAACCATATTCTGGATTGATGTGATGTTTGAATCCAGTCCATAGTCTATTGAACCTTCTGATCAGAAGCAGGAAACCTCTGATATTATTTCTAGAGGCCAAGCATAGCTTCTAGTTTGGCTACAGCAGGAATAGGTTGCTGGACTAGATGGACCATTGCTCTGAACTAGAAGAGCTTTATATTCTTATAAGGTTCTTATTTAAGATCACTTACTATTGAGTAAATTTGCATAGGATTTGACTGTTAGTTAAGTCTATTGCATTTATACCCTGCCTTTGCTCCGTAGAGCTCAAGTTGGCTGTGCTTCGTTGACCAGGAGCATCACCTGCAGTTCTGAATGCCACTGCAAATCTCCTCAGTACAGGTTAGGTGTAGACGACAAGCGAAGCTGCAGACTTCACTCATGGCAAAGAAGCATCAATTTATCTCTTCTCACTTGCTGGTCCCTTCCCACCCATACCCGCCTCCATTGTGGTTTCATGTCATCGATTCATTCTGGAAATCTGTGAGAATTGCAACATAAAATTATGGCCAAAATCCTTATCTGTCCCATTGAAATTAATAGAACTCACATCTCAGTAGACATGAATGTGACTGTATGTGCATTAATTCACCCTCTTAGGTTGGACAACTATAGTCATAGGCTTCTGCAGGAAGGGGGCAAGTGACAAAACATGCATCATTGTGACATTACCATGCAAGCATCACCCTTTATATATGTATTTGCATGTGTACGTTCAGAAAGACAGAGGTTGCATTGCGACATTGTGATGTGTGTTTTGTCATTTTGGTGTTATTGTGGTTAAGAAAAGATGCATATGGATCTAGCCATGGATAGAAACAGCAGAATATTCTAGATGGCATAATAAAGTAAGATTCTTGATTTTAGAAGCAATGTTTTACAAATTAGAGACAGATCTTGCAGGCTTTCATTAGTGCTAAAAAAATACTTGCGCAACTTCTTTTTGCACAAATGCACAATCACCCTGAGAGTCTAGGATTGATTGTAAGGAAGCAGTGAGGCATCACATAATCAGCAAATGTGCTTCAGGATTGTTTATAATAGTATTGAAAGGACATTCAGGCACAAAAACCCAGTTTCATGCTGCAGCTGTTTGAGCATCTCTAGCACCATTTCTACAGGTATTTTTTAATGCAATCCTTCAGATAACAACATGCCCACCTTAGTCTCATTTTACTCTAACAATTGCAAGTTTGAATATCAATCAAAAAGAAAACATTTGCTGTTCAGATACAGCCTCATGGGAAATTATTTCACATGGCTTGGGAAGCTATGCCCATTGAGTTGCATCGTGATTAGCATTCTCTTAACTTCATGGCTTACCTCCAAGAGAAGCAACTTCTCCAGAGAGCTGAGCCTTCAAGCAGTTGTGTCAAAAGCAACTAATTTTAGATGCAGATTAAAACTGTCCAAATCACTGAAATTTTAATCAGCTTCAGTTATGATACTGGCAAGTTAATACATGCGCAGGGTACAACCCTATCTGGTTATATCCCCCCCCCTCATGTATTCTATTTATGCCTTTCTCCTTGTGAAATAATGTGTGGGAGAGATGAGGAAGACCCAGTCACTCATCTATCATATGAAGATGTGTCTGGACCAAACATCTAATTTTAAATTATGGTTAAAATTACTCTTGAAGGCATCCAGATTTTTCACAGATTGCTAGCAAAGAAAGTCCAATCTGAAATGGGACTGAACTGTATTGGAATCACCTCCCTTACTTTCTCCAAGCTGATCTCATTGTTTAACTACCCTCAACTCAATCATCTTACCTTCTCCCACCACATTTGACTTGTTCCTTTTCTTCTCTGGGCTAGGCTTTGCACCCACAGTGATACCCGCTCATACATATGACATAAGAGTCCTGTAATCGTTGCTGCCACAACTAGTAGTATAGAAAAGCATACATTTGTTCCGATTTTCATAATTCCATCCGAACAATTTCTCATCCATTTTGCAATCTCTGTGCAATCCTGACATGTTGGATTCCAAAGTGGGGGAAACGATGCCTTGTTTTTATTGGACCATCACTCCATCATGCTATCTCTTCAAGAAAGCAAACATTTCCTGCAACCACAGCAGCCACAACATTTGCATGCCAGGCTAAGCATGGGATGTCTCCCCATTTGAATTCTGATGTGATTCCTCTCTAATTATTATCTCATGAAGGACTTGGGTATTTGTTCCTCTAGCGCTTCATTGTTTCATAATATTTTAAATCTTTCTATTTGCTAACCATTGTAGATTTTGGCTGGGATCTAAAGAGCTGCTTCCAATGCCTTCTTCAAACTGGCATCCTCTTGAGGTTTTGCACCACAATGCCCAGAATTTGCAGGGAGCCTTTGGAGAATGCCATGTTGGAGAAGACATGTTGAATTCAGTGTTCATAATACTGATATACTGTTGCTTGTTTTCCTTTTCCAGTCTGCAGCCTCTCTAGCTGCCCACACTGATCTGAAAAAGCAAATAGGAGGAGTTCCCTCCTGATGTCTTTCTTTGGGAATAAATAGCCACTCAGAGTTGCAGTAGTAAGATGGGCAATTATAGAAGTGGTCTAATAAAAATAATATATAAAGTAATATGATTAATGTAGTATGAAAAACCAGGAAAATTGCAGTTGGGTCTGCAAGAAATCCACATACCCTTCAGCCATCTTGTCTGTGGAGATTCTCAATCATCCAGACCATGGTTGTCCCAAAGGTGCTTTTCCAAAAAGCAACTGGACCTTCTTGGGTTTTTTTCGTGAAAACATTCTGCTTCTTTTTCAAGAAAAAAATCCAAGAAATTCCAGTTGTCTTTAGGAAAAGCACCTTTGGGACTTTAGCCATCTTGGAACCAAGCAAGGAATGGTATTCCCCACTCATGAAAATTTGTCCAATATTTTCCTGAGTTAAGAAAGAAAGAAAGAAAGAAAGAAAGAAAGAAAGAAAGAAAGAAAGAAAGAAAGAAAGAAAGAAAGAAAGAAAGAAAGAAAGAAAGAAAGAAAGAAAGAGAAGAGGGGGGAAAAAACCAAAGCTCCTTTATTGTGGTTTTTTTCCTTTTCAAATTGAGAAGATTTTTTTTTAAGTACAAAGTAATCAGCATTAGTGTATGTGCATTTTAAGAAGCATGGAGTTGCCACCAGGCATGAAAAACCTAGCATTATTTGCTTCCATCATTCTCTGAATGAAATGATTACAGGCTATGATGTTAGCCAGCTATCAGTGGTAGCCAGTCACTAAGGGGAAAATAGAATAAATGATGGCATTAGGACAAAAATGAATTGTATTGCCCATTATCAAGTTAGAACTGTAACTGAGCATACAGCTGCTGTTTTTCTGGTAGCCCTGTGATTCCTATACTGTATAGCTTCATTCTAGACCCACTACTACAGTCTCAGCCAAAACCATTTTCCTAATTTATCAGTAGTTGATGCTTTGATTTCAAACCAAGAATGATGGAGACAATACCTATCAGGAAACAGGTAGTCCTTGAGTTATGACTGTAATAGTCACAGTCCTAACTAATGGTGGTTATAAATGGGTCAGTTATGTGACCAACTCGATTTTATGACCTTATTTATAGCACTTGTTAAGCTAATCACCATAGTCATTAAGCAAATATGTGGTCATTAAGTTAATGCCGTGGTTAACTGAACCAATAGTTTGCTATGGGTGAGATTTTGCTGAAAGGTGCAAGTAAATAACAATTTTCAGTAAAATCATTGTAAAATGTGAATGTATGACTGTGGGATGCTGCAAACAGCTGTGAATGCAGCCTAGTAGCCGAGGGCCCAAAATGTGGTCACATGACCATGGGGGGGGAAGCTGATCATAGGAACTTTGAATCTGGGTTGTAAGCACCCCCCAAGTAGGTCCATCAGAACTTTGAATGATTGCTAAGCAACCAGTCATACATTGAGGAGTACCTGTATTATTGGCAGCTGTGCACTCACAATATAAATAGGTTCAGGGATAGCCCATATTATTGTGCCTGATGGAATAAATGGAATAGTTAATATGACAGAAAACAGAAACAAAATTATCTTGATTAAAGAAATGGGTTGAAAATAACAAGAAGAAACTGAATAAGGACAAGTGCAAAGTGTCTCACTTCACTTAGAACAATGTTCCTCAACTTTGGCAACTTTCACCTGTGTGGACTTCAATAGCCAAAAATCCTCAGTCTGCCTGCTGATTAGGGAATTCTGCGAATTGAAGTCCACACATCTTAAATTTATCAAGGTTGAGAAGTTAAGAAAACATTATCAAATGGGGACACTTGGCTTGGTAACTGTGTGCATCAAATACATCTTAGAGTTGACACACAAAATGCAAACTTAAGTTTATGTTGCATCAATAGAAGTATAATTTCTAAGTTATGTGGAGGAAATTTTTCATTTATTACACCTTTGTCAGACCTTATATCAAATGCTTTAATTTAGTTCTGGGCTCCACATTCTAGGAAGGAATCATTCAGAAAAATATATACAAAGAATGAAAAGGAAGAAGATTAGGGACCTGGAGACTAAATACAAGAAAGAAAAACAGTAACAACCTGACCTACTCTATTTAACTGGAGGGTGGGACACACAGTAGTGCTTATAATGCAGATTTTATTTGATTGTTAGGAAAGAAAAGCTGTAGAGTAAGAGTAATTTGACAATGGTCAAATCAACAGTTTTATTCACGCAAGATACTTTAGACATTTGAAAAGGAAGCCTCAGTCAGAATCCAACATTGAGGAAAGTTTTTGACTCAATTCTGATATAACTTCTTCCAACTATAGTTCTAGAAATGGCAGCATATAGAATTCTTCAAAGTCCAACTGCAGAATAACTAAAGGCAGCTAAAGTATTTTGGCCCATGAGTTGAAGATGCTCAAAAGACCCTCTCATCCCTGGCAGTAAATATATATAACCAACAAAGCAATTTTTAAGCTCCTGCTTTGTTTTACACTAAAATCATAGCACACAGCAACTTGATCACTTGGTACCACTTACTACATTGCAATTAGCCATGCATGTGTGTTTTTTTTGAAGGTTTGCTTTAAACACAACTAACTGCTTTTAAATATATAGCAGAAACATAAAAGTAAACAATAAGTTCAATAATAAATGATAGTAAACCAAGCAAAATGAAATAGCACAGAAAATAACTAAAACAAAAACAAAGAAATAAAAAAGCTAATAATGATTTATTCCTTTATTTATTAAATTTGTATGCCACTCATCTCACTGTTGAAGCAAATATTTGTTGTTCAATCATTGTTAAATTATTCTTACCCAAGGTCATACAGAACTAATTTATCCTACCTTAATCTGCTGAATACAACTTTCTGTAAAGAAAATTAACTACTGTGTAGCTTTAAGAATGTCATAACCTTTTTGGAATTTCAGAGGCAATTAAGACATCAGGACCAACTTGTACAATTAAGGAATGATATTCAAGTTTAAATAATTTAAAATTTGACCAGATATCCCTCAGTATTGTTAGAAAGTCAATTAGAGTACATGGTGGCCTAGAAATGGAGCTCTCACCTCACAATCAGGAGGTTGTGAGTTCAATCCTAGGTAGTGGCAGATTATTTGTCTCTCTGGGCACAATGAGAAAATATCTGTTGTGAGTCTGCATAAACATTAAATGCTCAGCTCCATTCAGTCACCCCAACTCCACCCCATTGTAAGAGATTACAGGGTTGTTAAAAGAAAAAATAGAAAGTCAGTTCATATGTGGATAATATAGACATGATTTAATTGCCAGTGAGCAACCTTAGAAATCTTAGTTTTGAAGAACTGAGCAATACTGTAAATTGGTTTAAAACAGATGGGGAGAGACTGCCTGAATCTACCATAAATGGCCCTCTGGACCGGGACGCCTTACGCACGGTCACCCATGCCCTTGTCACTTCCCGCCTGGACTACTGTAATGCTCTCTACATGGGGCTCCCCTTGAGGAGCACCCGGAGGCTCCAGCTAGTTCAAAATGCAGCCGCGCGGGCGGTGTTGGGAGGGACTCGTCGCTCCCACGTTATGCCGCTTCTGCGCGAGCTGCATTGGCTG